ATATAACGTCACACTACACTACTTATGTTACTACGTCAAATGTTATATGTCACGTCACACTACACTACTTATGTCACGTCACACTACACTACTTATGTCACTATATCAAACGTCATACGTCACGTCCCTTACGTCACGTCAATATGACCCTTAGGGTAGTACGTCATCTACGTCATAATGCCGTAAGTAGTGACTACCCTGAGAAATGTCCCCACCTCTAGTATTAACCAATTTCGCCGACAACCTTTTTCACTGACTGCAATTTTTGGCCAAATTTAGGGTTAGGGTTAGCCGGATTTATAGCCAGTGTTGGCCACAAACACATTGTCGGTGAAATGGCTGTCGGCAAAACACCTGGTACAGTGAAGACTTGAATATTCGAATACAGGTATTAGAAAAAAATAAATAATTAAATAAAGCTAAGTGCTACGTACGTATTCAATAAACAAAGGGATTATTGACTTATGCGTAAAAAAAAAAAATTAATTAAAATTTTGCAAATTAATAACTTAGATAAAAAAAATTAGTAACAACGGAACCACGCGGAATACGTACAATATTAATAGTATTATTTATGCATCTATAACGACGTACGTATAACGTTTGACAACCTTTCCAGGTGTGTAACAATTAATATATGAACCGCAGACTTGAAATGTATTTAAGGGATTATTTTCGATTGAATTTAGCAAAAAAAAACAATCAATCAACATGTTCTTAAAGGAAGAAATAATCTCATCACCTAGTGGAGTGCTTCCATATTCTGCTTATGATAAATATAGCACTAAAATGTATTTTTCCCTCTTGCCAAATCACACAAGCTTTCAATCAGGATATCTTGGAGTGCAACCGAGTTATGTCCAAGGTACATTTCATTTACGATTTCCAGAGGAAAATCCTTTGAATGCTAGCAGTATCGATTTAAAGTTTACTGGCAAAGAAGATATTAAGTTCACCCGAAATTATGGCAATAATTCTACTACCTATTATGCAAAACGAAAACTTGAATGTGGTGTGATTCGCTTATGGGAAAGTTCCAGTCCGGGAAAATTCGAAAAAATTTTCAAATTGGATGTACCTTTTAAAATTCTACTTGTTAACGATTTGCCCCCTTCCCTTTCTCTTGTTCGTAAACGTGCCAAGATTTATTATCGATTAAAAGTTATTATAACAAGGGAAACCAAACTTCTCTCATTTAAATCTGGAAAAAAATCAATTTCTGCGAAATGTCCAATATTTCAATATTTACCTCCTTTAAGACCTGATCCATTCCTTACACTCCTTGATAGAAACTCTAAAGATAAAGGTGGTGCTCCAGATAACCCAAATATTCGGCATGTAATGACGTTAAATCGAACGGATTTTGCACCTAGAGAAATGATTATCGTTGTAGTGCAATTAACTTTATTAAATAACAGTGTTGCCGTTCGAGAGATATCATTAGGTTTAAAAGAATACTCTCATTTAGTATCTGGTAGACATTCCGATTCTGATAAACATTATATAGTTAAAGAAAAAATAATTGGTGCGCAACTTCAACTCAAAGCTGGGACATTGAATCAATTGTATGGAGAAATACGCGTTGCCATTCCTGAAAAACAAGCATATCCTACTAGTCTACTTTCACAGTGTGTACAAATTAAACATAAAGTTAAATTAAGGGTTCATTTGTCGGGTGCCAAGGATATAAGATTAGAAAAACAGATCATGTTCGCTAAACGTGCTCTGCTATGAATAAAATTTTATCATAGTGTATTATATCATACAATATTATATTTTATTTTATTCTTCTTATTTCTATTTTATTTTACTTTATACCTTTAATTTAACTTATCACTTTATTACTCTCTTTATAATTATCTTGATATTTTATGTACCCCATCAGTATAGTGATAATCGTGACAAGGCTTTACCAAACGACACCAACTTCGAAATGGTATTCCTATAATAAAGTATAGATAGTTTGATCCTCTTTGTAAATAAATACAGAATATTTGCTTGAAATAGAATTCAACTGGTTCCCTATTACGAGTATTTACTGATAATGTACAAATAATATGCTAAATAATCACGCTAAGCGATGTCGGTTAAATGACAATGATTGATGACGATAACGTATTCATTTATTATATCTCACTCCTTAGACTTCGAGTAAGGCAGTACTTTATGTGCTGAAACGATTTGATAATTGGTAAACACATAATTGAACATAAATTTCATCTATCTGGCTTGATATAGGATTAGAAAAGCGAAAAAAATGCTAAAATATTTTATAATTATACAGTAGATTATAAATCGGCTTCACCTGTCGTAATATTATGTGAATAGTAAATTGAATTTTTTTTTTGGTTGTTCAGCTCCATAAATTACCATCCCCTTGTTTTGAACTCGGGTCTTTTACGAGACTTCCTGATGGGTTTATATAGGTTATTTCTTTATTGTGGAAAAGTACTAGTATTCACTAGCCAAAGTATTAATATATCAAGATGCAAAAGGGATATTTGGACTGCGAAATATGATGTTTTTAACAATTCATCAACTTTAAAGCAATTATAAATATGTATTAATTAATATTATTTATTCCAAAGAGGTTAATCAATACCGAATATTTTTCTGTTCGTAGTTATTTCTCTTAGAACACCAATATTAGTGATGCAAATTTCCAATTAATAGGTTCATAAAAATATATCTGATATTCATTTATTTCAAGTTTTTGCTAATACAACTGATTCATTACATTACTACGTAGTGTAAATTTTTGATGAATGAATGCTGTATGTTTTTCTTTCAATCACTATTCCAAATTGATAACAAAGCCCAACTTGATTCATTGCAATGACATTCACTATCTCAATTTTGAATTTCAATTCCGAATAATCCAAATTTTACTAGGGGGTTAACTAACTAGCCTTTGCTTTCTTGTATTCATGTTCAACTCAATTTCTTGAGTTAGATTACAAATACTTTCAATATCTTTATTATTTTTATTACATCTTGGTTTAATTATAGATAGCCACCCTTCTAAACACAGTATACTAGAAACAGGAGTCGTTGAGGTCCGGAGCTCGTCAAATTCCCCTTGATACGGTCAACTCTCGATAAACCGGGATCATCGGTATAATGATCACATACAGTTTATCAATAGTTTGAATAAACATCGATTTATCGAGAGTGACCCAATACCGGTTTATTATCCGTAATATATAAATATTAGCCTTCAGGCTCGGGCATTACTCTAGGACTAAGATTTCTATTCTTTAACTGCCAATATCATTTGAATGTTAATAATTTTTTTTAGTATGCATAAAATCAAATTTTTTGACCATTTATCAACTTTTAAGAATTGATAATTTTATTTACACCTTAACTTTTCATTTTCAAATATTTCATTGTCGTGCCTGAAGTTGATACCCGCCTGAAGTTGCCTGAAATTGTACTTTACTAAAATTAGCCCCTGAAATTAAATCATCTTGCACGCGTTAGCTAGTAATTTTAGGTGCCTGAAGTTACAACTTCATGTAAGTGTTAACGACATCATTATACGTTGTACAGTAGTTCTAAGTGGAAAAACCTTTCATATAATTGTTAATCTCTTTTTTCTGTTTGTTCATTCCTGAATTGTTATGTCAGATTCGCATGTCTAATATCATACTACGTATGACATTTTATTTAAGAATCTCTGATCATCGATTGTATTATATGGTACAGTAGCCAACAAAAGTAACGCCCGAATTTACAATAAAAAATAAATTTTTTATTTATTCAATTTCTACCCTACATACATCAAAATTTTTTTATTTATTTATTTAATATTTGCACGCATGACCATCTACACTCAATATTGCGTCGATTCTTCGCGGCATTGAGTCTACAACTGCCCGAAGAACTGACACATCCAAACTTGCCCACGCCTTCTTTAAGGCTTCCTTAAGCTCAACCTTATTTTTTGGAAAGTTTTCTCAGTTCTGAATATTGTCTTTTAGGATCCTCCAGATATTTTCTATGGGGTTAAGGTCAGGGGATCGTGATGGCCAGTCCATATATTTGATGTTTTTTGATTTAAGCCAATCCAATACCTTTTGAACAGGAGTATTGTCATGCTGAAAAATTGGATTTAGCCCAATTAACAAATGAGCAGTAGCAATAAATGGCATGAGGTTATTATCTAGAACCTTGGTATAAATATTTTTATTAATTTTTTATTTGGGAACTTTGCAGTCATCAAAAAAAATCAGGGGACCTTTGATGTTATCAATGACACCCTTCTACTCTTAAAACTCAGAACCAAACACTCATGTTTAAATTTTCATCTACAGAACACCATACTTGAATCTAGCAGAATTGTTTCTCACTTCAATACTTATTTCATCAAAGAAAATGACATATCTTCAATAGTAAATGTCTTTGTCTTAATTTTGTTTACACCAATTTATATGTTTACTTATATTGACTTCTGACAAAAAAGGTTTAATAGTAGCATACAAGAACAAAGCCTGAAGCTGTGTAGGGTTCTCACTGCAGTTTGTACACTGCATTGAAGGTTTAAATCCTTCATAATACTGTATAGAGGCTTGCATCTTTTCTTTAATACTTTTTTTAGTATGTGGTTTTTTCTTGCTTCTTTAGAACAGAGGAACATCTGAACTAAGTTAAATTTGTAATTTTTTTAGTTCTTTTGTACTTCACTAAGAACCTTCTTACTAATATCAGATTATCATAATTGAAATTTATTTATAAAAAGGAGAAAATACATAGATAGAAAAACTATTTTATTATTTTTGAATCTGGAATATTTCATATTCTGATACTGAAAACCAAGACTCGCCACTTTTATTTCTAATTGCTTTTTCATATGATTCATGCGAACAAGAACATTGATTAAAATTACTTTTCATGAAAAGATCATAACCATTACCAAAAATTGGACCATAATCAAAGCCACTATAAATTCATAACTTAGATCTTTTACACGACTTAAAATAGAAGATTGAATAGTACCATTTTTTAATGAAAATATAAAGCTATCTTTACGATATATCCACCGAAGATATGACTTATCCCACGCAACAGGATTGTATCCACCAAGAATTTCATCAGTATCTTTAACTTTTATAATTAAAATAGTATTTGCTTGCTTATCACATAATTTCCAAAATTTTTTTTTAATACGATCTCTGGTTATATTGATTATATGGATTATAATTTATTGAATGCGCTTTAGTTGATCGTGATGGCAATTTAGGTATTAAAATCAATCGAGGTGGAAGAATTATTGATGATATTTGCCTATTAGGATTTATAGCTCTTTTCATTATATCTTTCCAAAGATTTCTTTCTAGAATTGTTTGATATGGTTCTAAAGTATCAATAATTTCATCACCAGATATTTGAAAATAACGGATATGAGGTAAACAATTTTGTAATATAGTTTTTAAAGATAGAAAGTTTTCATTAGTCCATTTTTCAGGACCATCGGATGGTAAGTTTGGATTTTGTGCGATTCCCCATTTAATAACGTAATTCCAGATTTTCCCTTCTTCCATTTGTAAATCATCTCGTTTAATAAGAGATACTAACGCATTTTCTTGAAGCGATGTAAAGTCTTCAGAGTCAAAAACCTTACTCGGATACTTTACAACAATATCATTGCACCATTTTTGTAATACTTGGAGTTTATTATTTTGGAAACTTGTTTGATAAATATTAGCAAAATGTAAACGAAGCCAGTTAGCTTTCTCATTAATCAAATAAGTTTCAAGGTTATTGGCCAATTCTTCAAGAAAAAACTCGTAAGCTACGAGCATGAGTTCAAAAATAAATGATGTGTCTTGATTTTCTAATGAAACTAACCCTCCGTAAATATATCTTTATTGAAAATGAATTACGTTTAGTTGATTGCACAAAGAAAATGATCGTTTCTTTATAACAGGTTAGTTATTGTGATAATTTATAAATAAAAGGTATCATATAACTTACTTAAGAATAAAATCAAATTGTTGAGTAGAAATATGGTTTAAATTAATTGTTTTAATGTTTTTATTATCTTTACTGGTTTTTGCTAATTCATTACGAAAATATAAAGATCTATATCTCAAAACATTTGAATGTGCTTTGAAAAACATCTTTTTTGGTGATTCTCCTACATTAATTATTACATTAAAATCTTCTTCATCATTAAGAAGATTAAGGTAATCTATTGAAAGTTTTTCCAAATGGTTTACTGTCATTTTAATTTAAAGTTCTGATATGTATAACATTTTTGGTTTTTAATACGTATATCTGATATGGTTACACAGACATACCATTTCGGCGGATTAGTGAAATGTTGTATAGTAATCATTAGATTCTTGAAAAAAATCTAATGATATCGATATAAAAATTTAATTTTGACTACTAAATCATGAAATATTTAATTCCCATTAAGGTGAATATTAGTTAATGTCACATGGATAGTACTGTACATAAATTTATATTAAATTTAATATTATATTAGATTATATTTTTCGAACAAGCTAATCGGCTAAAATGAAATTACTTAATTTTTTTTTAATGAAGCTTTATATTGAAACAAAGCCGCTTTTTCAATAGTTTTAAAAATATTTACTTGTAACTAATATTTTAAAGCTTTTACTAATACGTTTATAGATTTAAAAACTATTGTTAAAATGGCTCTATTACAATGTAGAACAGTCTAGAGTTTCAATTTAAAAAAATTTTTAATTGGTTTGGTTTAT